CAGCAGAGGAAGACTCCACCTTCATATACAAGGCAGCAAATACAGAGATCCAGCACATGGTCCTTGCCCAGCTCAAGCACGGGCCATCTACCCAGCTGCAGACTCAGACAAGAATATCAGGGTGAGTAATGCTGAGCCAGAGCGAAATTGGAGATTACAGGGGTGTTTATGGCTATATCACCCTGAATTTGCCAGATCTCATCCGAGGAGTAAGAGATAACTAGAGCGAAGGCATGCAGCAAGCGTCTCCTTCCAGGAGGTGGCGTGTGAGACAATAGCCACAGAGAGCCAGCGAGCCAGGCCATTCCAAAGGAGCCACAGAACCATGTGTTCCACTTGCACACACCCAGGGTCACCTCCAGGCTCTGCCTGTGAACCAGCTTGGATCTCAGCTGCTGGTCTCCTTCCCGCAGGTGGTACTAGAGCCCTGCTTCCTGGCCCTGGTTGCTTTACCCTCTAGCCTTTCTCTTCTAGTAACTGCTGCAGTTCACAACCTGCCCCCCCCCTCACTCCCCAGGATCTCCAACACCTTTGGTGACACCCCCACACCCTCTAAACATCCCAGACAGGAGTAAGGCAAGAACCAGGCTGTGTGCCCTACCAGAGGGCAGGGAGGGCTTCGAGCCAGGGAACTGAGGACTTGAGCCAAGCCTAAAGCATCAGGAAGCTTCGGCTGCAAGATGGAGTCCCTGGCTGACAACTGCTAACATCCTTCTGGCCACTCAGGTAGGTCTCTGGACACGAGGGCAGCTAGCAGTGGCCCTCGGTGATCCCACAGGGAGGGGACAGGGTGACAGCCCCAGGACTGACGGATGGTCTGGCTCCAGGGAGTCTCCTACTGCCCGTTTCCCTCTGGGCTCCAGAGCAGGTGATCTGAGGCCAGAAGAGGCCACCCAGCTGGCTCCCTGGGCAGCCAGGATCCCCAGCAAGGGCAGTGTTTGTTTTCCTCCCAGAATGCCCAGGCTAGTCACCACTTGCTGCTGTGGTTGCCTGGGGAACTCTGGCTATTTTCATGCGGGCTCTGGATGATGAGCTGTGGAAACACTCTGGCAAGGTTGGTCTGGGAAGTGATACCCAAGTAGGCTCTGGCAGAGAGGAGAGCTTGGCAGCAAGAGAGGAGGCTCAGCATTCACACACACAGCCCTGAGTGTGGTGGAGAGGGTGGCTGGGGAAGGCTGTGCCCAAAGAGAGGGGTACCAATTCATTCACAGTTCATTTCTTCCTACATATTCACTTTCTGTTCATAGGATCAAACATTCAAGGCTCTGGTCTTTGTGCTAGGTGGCATGGAGTTGGCAAACCCAGTGAGTCTGTCCAGCCCCATGGGAAGCTGGAAACGTAAACTATGACTTCAGTTCAGCAGGATCTGTGCCACCACAGGGGTTTTGCAGCCAGTGTGGACAGCATGTGCATGGGTCCAGAAGAGACTGAGTACAGCGCCTCCAGAGTGCATGCCCAGTCCTGGGCAACGTGGGACCAGGCCAAGAACCAAGTCACCAGGGAGGTTTGGGATGAGGTGAGCTAGGACCACTGAAACAGTTGTGATGAGGTCCTGGGGACCAAAAATGGAGCCCAGGGCATTCCCTGGAGAGAGGTGTGCTGTCAGGTAATAGTATACCCTTCTGAGGTATTGATGTAGTTGAAGACTAGAGTTACAATTTTCCTTAGTTATGATAAGAGATAAGTTAGATATGAAACCTTAGACTCACAAATATAAGATAGATATGATATCTTCTTTAATTTTGCCAAATACGAATAGACTAGATATTATAAATAGACTAGATAGTGTAACTGTAATTCTTGCTTGATAATTGTTTTGTTGTATGTAATTTTACTATGTAAAAGTTAAAACCTTCCTTTTTGAAAAAAAGAAAAGGGGAAGTGCTATGGGATGTTCTGTATGTTAAATGTGCTGCTCTGATTGGTTAATAAATAAAACACTGATTGGCCAGTAGCCAGGCAGGAAGTATAGGCGGGACAAGGAGAGAGGAGAATGCTGGGAAGTGGAAGGCTGAGCCAGAGAGACGCTGTCAGCCGCTGCCATGAGAAGATGTTAAGATACAGGTAAGTCACAAGCCATGTGGCAACTTATAGATTAATAGAAATGGGTTAATTTAAGATATAAGAGCAGTTAGCAAGAAGCCTGCTACGGCCATACAGTTTGTAAGCAATATAAGTCCCTGTGTGTTTACTTGGTTGGGTCTGAGCAGCTGTGGGACTGGCGGGTGAGAGAGATTTGTCCTGACTCTGGGCCAGGTAGGAAAACTCTAGCTATAGAGGTGCATTTCCCCGATGCCCCTGGGATGCAGGGAGGCTCCACAGGGCATCTGAGAGCCCTGAAGCTGCGGGAGGCCCTCCACCAGGAGAGCCAGGCTAGGCCTCCGGCTCAGGCTGGCACTCACTGCCCATCTGCCCTCCCTCCAAAGCCCAGTCTGTTGCCCCACCACTGAGCATGCCCCTGAATGCCCTCCGCCTGCCTGTGGCCATACCCCTGCTGGGAGATGCCTACTGGTCTGAAAGGTGAGGGTGGCATGCCACAGAGGGGGACGAATGTGGAGAAAATGCAGCACTCACAGGTGTCGGGGCCAGCTGGGTACAACACGCACCTGCCTCCCCCAGTCCTGAGCCAGCCTTGTGCCGTGGCCATTTTTGCCCTCATTATACACATTGAGAGACCGAAGCTCCAAGAAGCTAACGAGCCTCACCAGAGCTGCAGTGATGAAATCAGGAGTCAAACGCAGGTGTGACTCTGAAACCCACCTCTAAAGACCATGCCCATCTGCTACATGCCAAGTGCTGAAGCGCCCAAGACAGCAAGGTACTGTCTCACGAGACCCTAAGGCGGTAACGTGGGAAGGAACCACAGAGGGCTGGACTTGTCCCAAACAACCTATGCCCCTATGACCTTGGGAGGGACTTTGTGGTTCCCATGAAGAGGAGGAATGATGCCGGCTGCCTGTCTTCAGATCATGAAAGAAAAAGTCATCCTCAGAAAGGAACGGGGCTCCCAGCCAGCCGCTGGCATCGCCAAACAGAAAGGTGGGTGAAGCCAGGAGGGAGGCTTTGGGCCCGCAGGGGTCTGTGCCCAGTGAGGGGGGCCTTGGGCCCGCAGGGGTCTGTGCCCAGTGAGGGGGGCTTTGGGCCCGCAGGGGTCTGTGCCCAGTGAGGGGGGCTTTGGGCCCGCAGGGTTCTGTGCCCAGTGAGGTGGGCTTTGGGCCCGCAGGGGTCTGTGCCCAGTGAGGGGGGCCTTGGGCCCGCAGGGGTCTGTGCCCAGTGAGGGGGGACTTGGGCCCGCAGGGGTCTGTGCCCAGTGAGGGGGGCTTTGGGCCCGCAGGGGTCTGTGCCCAGTGAGGGGGGCTTTGGGCCCGCAGGGGCCTGTGCCCAGTGAGGGGGGCTTTGGGCCCGCAGGGGCCTGTGCCCAGTGAGGGGGGCCTTGGGCCCGCAGGGGTCTGTGCCCAGTGAGGGAGGCTTTGGGCCCGCAGGGGTCTGTGCCCAGTGAGGGAGGCTTTGGGTCCACTGGGGGGCTTTGGGCCCGCAGGGGTCTGTGCCCAGTGAGGGAGGCTTTGGGCCCGCAGGGGTCTGTGCCCAGTGAGGGGGGCTTTGGGCCCGCAGGGGCCTGTGCCCAGTGAGGGGGGCTTTGGGCCCGCAGGGGTCTGTGCCCAGTGAGGGGGGCTTTGGGCCCGCAGGGGTCTGTGCCCGTGAGGCAGGTTCACCAGCCCATCTGTGCCCTCTGAACTGCCCTTCCTGCGGCCCATGCCGCTGCCCGGACTGGTGTGCTCTATCCTGCCGGGTCTGGTTTGGAATCTCGAAGTGAGAGACTAATACTGGAGGGAGGCCCCTCGGCAGCTGAGGTGGTAGCTGTGAAGGAAGGTAGGGAGCTTGAGGCCGGCAGGGGAAACGGCCCTGGCGGTTCAGGATTGGGGGAGGTGCGGGGGGGGGGGGGCAGCATTGTCGGAAAATCCCAACCAGGTTTGGATGCTCTGGCCTTCTGCGGAGATCAGAGCCTAAAGAAAGGCATTCTCGCCGCTGCCAAGTCAAGGTGTGTGGGAGGTCAGTGTTTTCCAGGGCTGTACACTGCTGGGATTGGTCTGTATGTCATCTGTTTGGGGTTGCCATCACTACCAGAGTGTCCCCCACCTAGACAGCAATGTCCGTGGGTTGGTAAAGGGTGTGGAGATAAATCACTCTGGAGTCTGTTTAGGTAGTGACAGGACAATACCCCCAGAAGAGGGATTTCCTCCTGGGACCTGAACGATAGTGTGAGGTGTGGGTGTCAGTGTTGTGGTATTGTGTTCCCCAAAATATTGTGTACCCTAATAAACTTATCTGGGGTCAGAGAACAGAAAAGCCACTAGATACTTAGGATAGGCAGTGGTAGCACAAGCCTTTAATCCTAGCATTCCAGAGGCAGAAATCCATGTGTTCAAGGATACAGTCAAGCATGGTGACTCATGCCTTTAATCCCAGAAAGTGAGCCTTTAATCCCAGGGAGTGATGGTAGAAAGCAGAAAGATATATAAGGCATGAGGACCAGAAACTAGAAGCTTTTAGCTAGTTAAGCTTCAGGCTTTCGAGCAGCAGTTCAGCTGAGAGCCATTGGGATGAGGACTCAGAGGCTTCCAGTCTAAGGAAACAAGACCAGCTGAGAAGTTGGCCAGGTGAGGTTAGCTGTGGCTTGTTCTGTCTCTCTGATCTTCCAGTGTTCACCCCAATAACTGGCCACAGTTTTGATTTTATTAATAAGAACTTTTAAGATTCCTGCTACATGTCAGCGTTCTCTGAATGACCCCTGGCCAGGCTCTGCCATGCTGGACTCCAGGCTCCAGTCTGGCTGTGGCCAGTTCCCACGATCACTCATTTCCCATCATCCCTCCAGCGGCCACGGCTTCCATGGCCCTTACCTCCCGGCCTCTTCACAGGCAGACAAGGACAGCAGGACCAAGCTAGGCACCTCAAGCTTAACGCCTGTAAGCTGTGTGAACGAAGGGCAGAGACAGAAGTCTGTTGTAGCAATGGGGTATTTATTCTTATCCTTACTACACAGTAACGTGGTTGTGGTAGGGAACTCGCGAGCGCAGAAGTGAGTGGAGAAGCGGTGAAGGTCCCTCACAGCCCCACTGCCCCGGTAGTGATGGACCTGTAATTGCAGCTAGGGTGTAATTGCAGCTAGGGGTACCACCCTAGCTGCTGTGCAGGCAGGGACACCCAGACAGGCAGAGCCCGGACCAAAGACATTCCGAAGCAGTCTCCCAGTTCAACATCAGCTTTATTCAAATGCAAGGGACCTGGAGGCTTCCTCAGCTTCTTCCATGGGACATTTAACCCCTGTCCGCCCACCTCACCCTAGAACCAGCCCTTTGCAGCTAGACATCAGAACTCGTCCTTTATGTCAAAATGGGGCTGGTCTTCAGGCTTGAAGTCCAGGTTGGGGCTGCCGTCCTCATTAAGGATCCTGCGGGCCGTGTAGCCGACAATGGGGTATTTGGCTTTGTACACCTTGCTGAAGACGTCATCCAGGGTCTCCAGCTCCTTGGCTGTGAGGCCCGTCTTGGGGAGAAGAAATGGGAGATGGAAGTGAGCAAATTGAATTTGACCGCATTGTGTCTGGCACTGACCTCTCTCTGCCCCTGACTTACCCACCCCAAACCCCCAAATGCAAGAGAAAAACACACTTAAAAAAAAACTTTTTAGGAGAGTGCAGGAACACAGTCCTCACCACCACAGGTTATATAGTTGAGTTTCTTGTGTTTGGGGAAATTGCAGGGATCAGCATATCTGAAGTACAATGGATGAGGCTCACCTTTGTGTTTATGGTGCCCCCACTTGCCAGAAATATATGGAAAAACCATCTTAGGTCAAATAATGGGCAACTGCTGTGGAATCATCCTTTTGTACACTGTGAAGATGTGTTACAGTCATTGTTAATAAAGACCTGACCGGCCAATACCTAGGCCGGAAGAGGTTAGGCAGGAGAGCCAAACTGAGAGAATGCTGGGAAGGAGGGCCGAGTTGCCAGCCAGCCAGAGAATGCAGGAGACAAACATGCCATGCTGAGAAAGGTCCTGCCACATGGTAGAATGTAAATAAGAAATATGGGTTAATTTAAGTTGAAAGAGCTATTTAGTAACAAGCCTGAGCTATCAGCCTAGCATTTATAATTAATAGTAAGTCTTCGTGTGGTTATTTGGGGAGCCTGTGGTCCCAAAGAAAAACTCCACCTACAGACAATGGACTTTTAAAGAAACAGCCCTAGGTATACAGAGTATGTTGCAGAGGGTAAGTGAGGATGTTTACAGAATGTGAGTGCAGTGTGTGTGTGCAGGGGTGAGTGCAGGGTATGTGTGTGTGTGCAGGGGTGAGTGCAGCATATGTGTGCAGGTTGTGAGCAGAGTATGTGCAGGGTATATGAATGCAGGGTATAGGTTCAAAGTGTCTGTACAGAGGTGGAGTGTCAAGTGTGTGTGCAGGGCAAGAATGCAGAGGAGCAACAGCTTCATCAATTTTGCTGGTCAGCTGATAAAGGAATTATTGTCCACAGGACACCCAGTCTTGGATGGGCTGCTCTATAGCCTGTGTCTACCTCTCTATAGTGGTACACATTTCAGTACACTGCTGTGATTTGGATGGAGAGTGTCACTTTATGAAAGGTCCCCATGTCAATTGTTTGGTCTCCAGGGTGGAGTTATTGGGAGGTGATGGAGACTTTAGGGGCAGGGCCTAGAGAGAGGCTCTTACATTGAGAGTATGCCCTCCACAGGAATTGGGAACATTGGCCACTTCCCCTTTCTCTTCTGCTTCCTGGTCATGAGGAGTATGGGTTTTCTCTGTCTCATGCTCTAGCCATGAGATCAGGCAGTGATGGACATCAGCCTCCAGGTTAACCCCTTTCTCTTTAGACATTGTTTACAAGGCTGGAGAGATAGCTCAGTGGTTAAGAGCACCCATTGCTCTTGTAGAGGACCCAAGTATGGTTCCCAACACCCACATCAAAACTGCCTCAGAGTCCAGGGGATCTGATGCCCTCTTCATAAATTGATATAGACACACACATACACAAAAATAAAAATAATTTTTAAGGTTATTTATTTCATATATTTTGTTACAGTAATGGAAGGCTGACTAGATGCTTCCCCTTAATTTCTTTCTGTAATGTTATGGCTTAAGAATTTGACTTATCTCACCAGGCAGTAGTGGCACATGAATCTCTGAGTTTGAGGCCAACCTGGTTCAGGGCTACACAGAGAAACCCTGTCTCAAAAAACAAAAAACAGGGCTGGAGAGATGGCTCAGAGGTTAAGAGCACTGACTGCTCTTCCAGAGGTCCTGAGTTCAACTCCCAGCAACCACATGGTGGCTCACAACCATCTGTAATGAGATCTGGTGCCCTCTTCTGGTCATACATGCTGTATACAAAATAAATAAATAAATCTAAAAAAAAAAAAAAAAAAAAAAAAAAAAAAAAAAAAAAAAAAACAAAAAACAACAACAACAAAAAAGAATTTAAATTATCTCAGTTTATTTATACTGATTTGATGAGTATAATTTAGGTAAATGACAGCCTATTGTAGGGATCGCTATTTAAAAAATTAATTTTAGGCCTGGAGCAATGGTTCAGCGGTTAAGAGCACTGACTGCTCTTCTAGAGGACCTGGGTTCAATTCCCAGCACTCACATGGCAGCTCACAACTGTCTATATCTACAGTTCCAGGGGATCTGACACCCTCACACAGACAAAACACCAATGCACATAAAAAATAAATAAAAAAATTAATTTTGGGATTACATTTATTTTTATGTGTATGCATGCATGGCGTGCATGCAGAGGTCAAAGGACAGCTTGCTGGAGTCGGTTCCTAACCCCCATTTGACCTCTCTCCATTTGGGTCCCAAGGATTGAACTCAGGTCATGAAGATTAACAAAAAGCATCTTTACCTCCTGAGCTACTTCGCCAGCCTCCCCGACCCCCTCCCTTTTTTTGGGGAGGGCGGGTTCAAGACAGGGTTTCACTGTGTAGCACTGGCTGTTCTGGAACTCACTCTGTAGACCAGGCTGGCCTCAAACTCAGAAACCTGTCTGCCTCTGCCTCCTAAGTGCTGGGACTAAAGGCGTGTACCACCAAGCCTTGCTATAACCTGCCCCATTTTTAAAAACGCTCTTTCCAAAAGCTAGGCAATGGTGGCATGTGCCTTTAATCCCAGCACTCGGGAGGCAGAGCCAAGCAGATCTCTGTGAGTTCGAGGCCAGCCTGGTCTGCAGAGCAAGTTCCAGAACAGCCACCAAAACTACACAGAGAAACCTTGTCTCGAAAAAAAACAAAATAAAACAAAAATGCTGTTTCCTTCTGCACAAAGCATGAGCATGGAGGGTGGTTCTGTTTCCCCCCAGTTCATCAACAAGGCTATGGCAGCTCCCGAGAGCGGGACTCAGGATGGGGTATGGATGGGGTGCAAACTACAGGGATGTCAAGCTGCTGGGCAGGCTGGGGATAAGCGGTGCGGTCTCCTATGTTGGATGACATGTCCACACAGAGCTTGGACTTAAGTCTGTAGACAGTGAGGAGCCATGGGAGGCTCCTAAGTAGGGGTGACCTGAAGCATTTATCTAATTATTCTTTATCAATAAAAAATTGGGAGTCAGGTATCAGGGTAAGAACCTGAAAGATCAGAGAAGCAGTGAAGCCACCAATGACCTCCTCTCTCTTCCGTTCCTCCATCCAAAAGGGCTGAGAACTCAGCCCCACCTTACTACTTCCTGTCTCCTGTCTGTCCTCAGTCCTTCAAGACCTCTATGGTTAATTTTGATCAGCTAGCGCCTAGGTCCGCCCTCTGCCCTAAAGCGAACTTTGTTGTCAGAATTCGGTCAAAATATCACAAACAGTGGCATTTCAAGAAAGCAGTTGGCCACTACACCACAGAGGCTAATTAACTGCTTATTAAGAAGTTTTGTGCGCCAAGGATCTGCCCAGTGGCAGGGCATTTGTCTAGCATGTGGAGGGCCTGGGTTTGAATCCACAAAAATAAAACAACTTAGTTTAACCCAGAGACTTAAAACAAACAAACAAAAAAACAAAGTCACCTTGGCTTAGTGGTTTAAATCTTTAATCTCAGCACTTAGGAAGCAGAATTAGTCTTGTAAGTTTGAGGCCAGCCTGGTCTACACAGAGAGTTCCAGCCCAGACAGGGCTACATAGTGAGACCCTGTCTCAAAAAAAAAAAAAGACAGAAAACAGTAACAAAACCCACAGCATGGAAGCAGACAAATGTTCATCAGCTTACAGTGTCATGAGTGAGGTCTGCAGGATCCAGAGACATCTTGGCCACACCTCTGGTGGAGTCCTTCCCGGTCAAGGCATTATAGGGGGCTCCTCGCCCATAAAACTCTGCAATGGGGTGAGGGAGAGTATGGGTGTATATGGAGAGCAGCCAGGAGCTTACATTTGGGGGTTCTCCAGACCCCTCAATCCTCAGAAAGGCTGCTGTTCTGAAGATGAACACAGCAGGGCAGACAGGAGGCCTGAGTCTACATGCTGCTCCGCTAATCCAGAATGGTGCTCCACTAATCCAGAATGCTGCTCCACTAACCCAGAATGCTGCTCCACTAACCCAGAATGCTGCTCCGCTAACCCAGAATGCTGCTCCGCTAACCCAGAACACAAGTGAGACATACCTGCCAACTAAGTGGTGGTTTGCAGAAAACACACAATGTCGTCTCTTTAAAAATTAAAATTGAAATCCTGCCTAATGATGCAGGCCTGTAATCACAGCTAGGAAGGAGGCTGATATAAGAGGCTTGCATGTTCAAGGCTAGCCTGCACCTGCCTCAAAGTAAGTATTTTAAAATGGGAAGGGGGGAATGGGGTGTGACTCAGAGGTAGAGTACTTGCCTACTTTTATTATACTTAAAGTATGACAAAGTATGACTTTATTGTACATAAAGTCCTGGGTTCAATCCTCTCTCTCTGTGTGTGTGTGTGTGTGTGTGTGTGTGTGTGTGTGTGTGTGTGTGTGTGTATCTGTGTATAGGGTGTAAGTGTATGGTATGTTTTATCTCTATGTATGTATGTATGTATATAGATGTATACAGAAACACAGATGTATGTATATATGTATGCATGTAGATGTGTACACAGACAAAAAGAGCCTCTGGTCTCAAATGCCTCAGGAAGCCAAGTCTCCTACTATGTGGACTTACAGGATGTCATGAAAACCCACTTCCTGGGGCTGAAGAGATGGCTCGGTGGTTAGGAGCACTGGCTCTTGTACAGGACCCAGGTTCAATTCCCAGTACCCACATGATGGCTCACAACCAACTATAACTCCAGTACCAGGGATCCAACATCCTCATCTGGCTTCTGTGAGTACTACATGCGCATGGTATACAGACATACATGCAGGCAAAACACCCACACACAGAAAATAAAAATTAGGAAAAGACAGGGGAAACTGTTCCATGGTGGTGTCACCATGTTCTGTCACCTTCTACATCAGCAACTCTTAGCTAAGGGGCAATTTTCTGGCTTCAACTTGAGTGCTCATTGGGTTTGAACTGGATTCCAGAGCACTTCAAATAGGAACATGGTGCTGATAGGAAATACTAAGTAGATAGACCTCTTTTGGTAAAACACTGACAGGAATTAGCTCCATCCGGGTCTTTCAGAGGGAAGGGGAGGGCCTTGCCTGACATAACCCATTGCCTCTTTCCTCCAGGCCCCAGCCTGCTCCAGCCCTGAGTTCCCCAGAATGAAAGAGCCACTTACCCTTTCCAGAGCTGACATCAAACACCACTCCCTTCACTGCCAAGTAGATGGGCTGATCCTCCTAGAAAGCAGGGGAGAGGCGTGAGGAGCAGGGAGAAACGCTGGCTCTCTAAACAGGTAGTGAGGACTGCTCACCACAAGCTGGGTGAGGAATGGTGGTGGGCCGCAAGGCTTGACCCTGGCAGGCTCACCACCTCATAGGCAATGTCATACCCACTCAGCAAAGCTTGAGATGTCAGAAAGCACCATGGAGAGTGTGGCAGTGCCCTCCTGCAAAACAATCAGGAGCTGAAGCAGACGAGAGAGCCAGGCAGGGTGGTGCACTCCGTAATCTCAACATTCAGGAAGCAGAGGCAGGAGGATCAGAGGTCCGAGGTTAGTCTCAGCTACTTATCAAATTTGAGGCTAGCCTAGGCTATGTAAGACGCTATCTCAAAAAACAAAACAAATAAATAAATACAAATCAAAAGAGCACAAAACGCTGGATGAGGTCAGTCAGAGCACTGTCCTGTCACCAACAGACACATGTGGGGTTAAGCATGCCAGTGATCCACTTTTTATTTTGCTTCTATTCTAAAAAAAGGTTTATTTGGGCCTGGAGAGATGGCTCAGTGGATAAGAGAACCTGGGTTCGATTCCCAGCACCTGCATGGCAGCTCACAACCACCTGCATCTCTTATTCCAGGGGATCTGACTCCTGGCCTCGGTAGGCACCAGGCACACAATAGCACATGTGGTGTAGACATCCATGCAGGCAAAACAACTTTAAAAATCACATTTGTGTGTGTGTGTGTGTGTGTGTGTGTATGAGAACATGGACGGGGAGGGTGTGTGTGTGCATACCTGTGCATACACAAGGAGCCCAGAGGTGGGTAATGGATGGCAATGGATCCTCCGTGACACTCCAGCTATTCCTTTGAGGTAGGGTCTCTCCCTGAACCCAGGGTTCCCATTTTCTCGGCTAGGCTGGAAGCCAGCAAGCCCCAGTGACCTTCCTGTTTCCACCCTCCTTGGAGCTGGGGTTATAGGTGTGTGCAGGATCCCCAGCTTATTGAGTGGGTGCTGGGATCTGAGCTCCTGTCTTCAGGGTCGCACAGCAAAGCTCTTAAAAGCTGAGCCATCTTCCAGCCCCACGTTTTGCTTCTTATAGGTAACTCTACTTCCATGTATTGGGAAATTCCTGTCACTTACACAGGTCCGTGGGACCCTGCCGTACAAAGGACTGTGCACCTGACAGGGACCTTATCTCATGAGTGTCATGCATACGCTCTTATAGCTGGGGGGCTGCGGGTACTGGCTGTTTCCGGTCTCAGAACCATGAGTGACAGTGGTTTGAACACCTTCCTATGAACTGCATTCTACTTCCTTGTAATGTCCGTTTGTCCTTCAGAAACACCAAACCATGTGCCCTGCATTCCTATTCCTCTAGATCAGTGGTTCCCAACCTGTGGGTCACAATATGATTGATAACAGCAGCAAAATTACAGTTATGAAGTGGCAACAACAAAGTAATTTTAGGTTGGGGGGGTCACCACAACATGAGGAACAGTATTAAAGGGCCGCAGCATTAGGAAGGTTGAGGACCACTGCTCTAGATTAGATATCTCACTTGATAAGCAGTCAAAGTTGGGGGACAGGTGGTTACAGCTAGAAAAGGTAGCAGACCATCACAGCACTGGCCTGAGAGGTGACTGTCCTTTACATCAGCTCTTTTCTGTCGCTGTGACATGACATGACTGAGACACCTCGGAAGGAAGGGTTCATTCAGGCTTGCGTGAGCCCAGAGGGATTGGATGGGTGACCAGGCCTGCAGATGTGGCTCAGCTGGTAGGATGCTCACCTAGGATGGAGAAAGCCCTGGCTTCCACCCCCTGCATAAACTAAGCAGTGGCTGACACCTGTCTCCCCCTGTTCTGGAGGTGGAGGCAGGAGGCTTAGAAGCTTCAGGTCATCCTCAGCTCTATAATATGTTCCGGGGAAGACTACGTGAGACCCTGTGTCAAGAAAAAATGTGTAACTATAGTACCTGGAGGCTGAGGCAGGAGGATTGCCATGAGTCCCAGGCCAGCCTGGGCTACTGAGCCGGCCTGTCTCAACACCCGCCCCTCTCCCACGTGTGTGTCACAGCTGCAGTTTAACTGCAGCGTTTGTCCAACTTCCCGCCCCGTTGCTTCTTTGCTTTTCTTATTGCCTACGTTCTTCATTTCTTCCCATAAAACATTTATGTCCTTATTAAACTATATGCTGAGGGCGCCGTGCTAAGAGGAGATTGCAGGAAGGGGCAGTAGGTGTGAGTGGCACCTTTTCAGGAGCATTGTGACACAGCCATGCAGAGAGGAACAGCAACCTCTGAACACCAGGTGTGTGAGGAGGAGTCTCTCCTGGAGACCAGTTTGCTCCCTTCACAAGGCACTCGGGTTCAGACTGTCGGGAAACAGTGGCTGAGAGGGTGGACGGTGGGTGGGGGCCTCGGTTGAGTGGATAGAATGACCAGAGACACCCACTGCCTTCTCCGCCTGGGTAGGTGCCATATTTGGGGACCCACAGCTAGATGTGGGTCCATACCGACAGATGTCCGGGAGTGGTCGTCTATGTTCCAAGAGTCCAGTGAAGGTGTCAGCTCAGCGGGCTGGGGCAGTGGACAAGCGCTGAAACGTCTAGCTGTTCTTGCAGAGTGTCCGCTGCTGTTAGCCCTCCTCTAAGACGGTGCTTTGCTTCCATTTTCATTTAACAGTTTTAAGGCAAGTTTTATAAGATCCGATTTTGCTCTATTTCTCAGTTGTTTCTTCTTTCTTCTTGGTTTGATTTGGCTCTACATCCAGTAAAGACCATTTTCTGTGGCCTTTAACTCCAGCCTGGGTAACAACCACCCTCTTGGGTAAACGCCAACACAGACAGTTGTACCGACACCAGACTGGTTTTCCTAATGGAAATGTATATTAAGTGTAATTCCAGTTAGGTGTAAGTATGCATATCCCAGCATTCAAGAGGCAAAGGCAGGTGGATGTCTGTGAGTTTGAGGCCAGCCTGGTCTACATAGTGAGTTCCTGGCCAGCCAGGGTAGGCTGGCTAGTTTTATGTCAACTTGACATAAGCTAAAGACGTTTTGGAAGAGGAAGCGTCATTTGAAAAATATCTACATAAGCCTGGCCTATAGGCTGACTTGTGGTTCATTTTCTTGATGATTGATTGGGAGGGCCCAGCTCACTGTGGGTGATGCCACCCCTGGGCTGGTGGTCCTGGGTGCTATAAGAAAGCAGGCTGAGCATGCTGTGAGGAGCAAGCCCTTAAGCAACATCCCTCCATGGCTTCTGCTTCAGTTCCTGCCCCCAGCCAGGTTCCTGCTCTGCTTGAGTTCCTGTCCTGACCTCCTTCAGTGGATGGAATATGACCTGGAAGTATAAGATGAAATAAACCCTTTCCTCCCAAGCTGCCTTTGGTCATGGTTATTATGTTGCACCACAGTAACAGAAACCCTAAGATACAGGCCAAATAGTAAGACCTTGTCTCAAAAACCAGAGCAATGAAAATGTAATTCCAAAATTGCTCAGAGAGTTTGAAGTTAAACCTGGAAGGAGTCTAGAAGATGCTCACACTTTCTTATGGGTGAGACTGTTAGCTGTGCATATGTGCACGGGTCTGTGTGTGTGCATGCACACAAGTGTGAGCTTTGAGACACTGACTGCTATATAACCTAGGCTGGCCTTGAACTCTGTTCTCCTCAATGTCTCCTGAGAGTTGGGATTCCAGGCTTGCCCCACCACATCCTGCTGAGTAAGGCTGTCTGGATCCAAGGAGGTTAAATGATACAGTGTGACTGGGGGAAGGCAGGACCACATGTGGATCTTTGGAACACAAGGTTCTTCCTGCCCTCTCTTGCTGCCCACCAGAGGGCATCCTTAACCCAGAGACATATATACATGACAGGAGGGTACGAGAGGTTTCGATATCCTTCACCTGGGACATGCACCTTACCATCTGGCCTTTCTGCCTGTCTCTGGCCAAGCAGAGGTCAGTGGCAAGTGTCTCAATAGCTCCAATGCAGGGGCCATGGAAGCGCTGGGCAGAGAGGAAGTTAAGTGAGTGTGGGTACAGCTGGCAGGCAGGCTTAGCCATTGGCCAGAGCACCTGTACCTCACCATCCTCTGGGCCCAGGCCAGGGCTGAGTCAGACCAGCTTCTCTGCACCCCTTTTTGGAAAAGAGGGAATCTGCTGTGGGTGGGGTTATTTTTTTTTTTTTTTCAGAGAAAACACTGCCCTCCTGTGGTCTGAGGCCATGTTCTTCTAACTGCAGGCAGCACCCATGACCTGTCTGTGGGTCATAGAACAGGGATTTATCAACAGACTAATAGGGGTAGGAGAAAAACAAAAGAATGTAGACAGAAACAGAAGTGTCTGGGCCTGAGGTTTCCTTCAGTGCTCTCAATTAACTTTCACACAAGCTAATGAGGCTAGCGGCAGCTGACACTGGTTAAGGGTTGCCATGCTGAGTCTCATTCCAGAGTCACAAAATGCCTGTGTAGAGCAGGAACTCACTGTAACCACGTGATGAGTTTTACACATCCACCCAGAAGTGCTACCAACCAAAGTTTATCAATACTCAGCCAGGTGTGGCAGAGAAGTCATCTACAGTCAGGTGACTTTACATAAAGAAAGTCATCACAGATAATCTGGGTTGGCGGGACCTTCGCCAACTCACTGAAAGGCCATGAGGTTCCCTGAGGAAAAAGGAACTCCACCTAGGCAGGCATGGTGATGCCTGCCTTAAGATCTCTCTGAGTTCCTCGGCCACCATGGTCTACACAGTGAGTCCAGGACAGCCAGAACTACATAGTGAGACCCCCGTCTTAACAACCCCTTCCAGGAAGGAAGGAAGGAGGGAGGGAAAATCCGTCTGCTGGAGAATTCCAGCCTCCTTCCTGGTCCAGCCTGCCTAGTTAGCCAGCCCTACCATCTGCAAACTGGTGTAGTAATATCTCCCCCTCTCTCTGATGCCAGCACCATACAGTTGAAAATATGGCAGCTGTGAGGCTTAGTGACTTGGCCCAAATCACATGGCACAGCAGGAATGCAAGCCCACGTACCATTCAAAGGTTTATGCTTTAGAGTGACCAAATAATTGATCACACAAACCACGATGCTGCTGGGGGGGTGGGGTGGCTATTGGTAATTCCCCTTGGACCCAAAGCGGAGACCAGGGCCATTCCCAGCATATCGCAGCCCTGCTAACTCTCCCAGGCACTCCTCGGCCCCCAACAACTCCTCCCCTGGCTCCTCCCACTTCAAGTCTCAACCCACAGTATGATTAATATAAAAACCAGGGTCTTTCCTCAGTCTTTGTCCTGCAGTCTCTAGGTGTGCCTTTCCTCAAGAGCCTGTCGTCTGCCCACTAGAAATCCCAGCTGCTTCTGCAGCTGCTCTGGAGGTTCCCGTGTGTAGTGCTCCACATAAACCACACTGCACACACATCACAGGCAGTGCCACACCCCCATCAGTTAGGGAGGAACGGACCGCCTTGCTAGACAGCAGGCCTGCTCTGCTAAGGGTTCTCTGCACACATCTGCACCAAGAACTCCCTCCTCCAGGCCCTTAAAACCATTCAAACGCCCCCACCCACCTCCCCTCCCCTCCCTCCCATCATGTTCCTATCCCTGTGTCCTCATGGACCCATGGGTCTAAACCAGTGCCAGTGGTTCTTAATCTTCCTAATGCTGTGACCCTTTAATACAGTTCCTCATGTTGTGGTGACTCCTCAACCATAAAATTATTTTTGTTGCTACTTCATAACTGTAATTTTGTTATGAATCGTAATGTAAATATCTGTGTTTTCAGACGGTCTTAGGGATCTCTGTGAAGGGGTCATTTGATCCAAAGGGGTCGTGACCCACAGGTTGGGAACCTATGGCCTAAACTGTCACTCATAAGGTGCTTCGGAGTAGCCCTTGCATATTTGGTCAGTGTAAGGCCGGCTAATGGAGGAGAGGCTAGGGAGCACAGGCCAGAGAGATTCAGCAAATCCACACGGATCCTTCCCTCCTGTACAATGAGTGCTTAGGTTCCCCCTCAGTAAAGGCCGGGGACTCATTCCTGGAAAGCACTGCAATGCCTTGAACTGATTCTCCCAAACTAGACCCAACTTCCTCCCCACATAAAGCAGCTGCCCATGTAGGAGAGCGTTGTTTCCCGCTCTGCATTCATGCCCACCGGCCTAGACACTAAGTAGGGTCTGATGGGTGGGCTTCAGAAGGCCTGGGACACCGAGGCAGGAAAAGGAAGGGCTGGTCATCTGGGCCCGCCCCAGTCCCCCTAGCCCCGGGAGCGCGCTCTTGCTGGCCACTGCACAAACCCTAGGCGTGTGGCCCCAGCCATGCTCACACTAAAATCTGGAAGGGTCTGAGGTCTGTACTCAAACCCACAGCGACAAGGCGGGGCGAGGGAAGCGCTCAGCTTTCACCAAGGGCCTTGCGTGGGTCCCCTGCCACCAGCCGGGGCCTGGGGACAGCAGCCGGCCCAGGCCGCGCCGCCTACCTCCTCGCCGCCGTAGCGGGCCAGCTCCTCCTCCGTGAAGAGCCGCACCGGGGGCCCGCGCTGTGCGGGGCGCGGCGTCTGCCCAGAGCAGGCTGTGGGTACCTGGGTCAGAGCCACCACCAGGGCGAGCGCCGCCAGCGGCCGCAGCCGCCACCCGGGCGCCCGGCGCGCCATGGACCGCGAGGAGCGGGCGGGAGGACGGCGGGGCGGAGCACCGTCGGCACCTAGGGAGGGGCGCTGCAAGACAGGACCCAGGCTTATAATTGGCTTCTCTCTCTGAGAATAAGTCCTACTATGTAGCCTGTAATGTTCTGAACTGGAGATGATCCTCCTGCCTTAGCCTGCAGAAAACTGGATTACAGGCCGTGGCACCAGGCCCAGCTGGCTTGCTAGCTTTTCCTTCCTTCCTTCCTTCCTTCCTTCCTTCCTTCCTTCCTTCCTTCCTTCCTTCCTTCCTTCCTTCCTTCCTTCCTTCCTTCCTTCCTTCCTTCCTTCCTTCCTTCCTTCCTTCCTTCCTTCCTTCTTTCCTCTCTCTCTCTCCCTCCCCGACCCCCGCCTCCAGGTTTTCACTCGGTAGTTTATGTATGTACCAAGGCTGACCTTACAGGGATCCTCCTAGCCTGGCTCTTTTATAGGATTGTGTTGCAACTAACATGATTGTGGCCTTGAAGAGGCCCTTCAGGCCAACACAACTTGACAACGTCTCTGTCCTCCAGCATTCTGTCTGACTGCTCCAGCTCCTTCACCTTCTGCAGGCCTGTGTGTCCAGACCCTCTTGAAATCAAAAGCTCCTTCCTGCAATTTCTACTGACCACACCTAGCTACCAAATTCCCAGAGAAGCTAAGGATCAGTCTATAATTGAATAACATGTCCACCAGGCACACTGGAATCTACCTGAACCCGGATTCTCCAGGTGCCCAAGTGCCCTCTGCTACTCAAACCCAGAGTCATTTTTAAAAATACTTGGAAGCAGTTGTGATCAGCAAAGAAAACAGAAACTGGAGCCAGAGAGATGGCTCAGTGTTCAAGAGCACCTGCTGCTCTTCCAGAGGACCTGGGCTCAAATTCCCAGCACTTACATGGCAGCTCATACCATCAGTAACTTCTAGTCCCAGAGAATCTGACACCCTTTCTGACCTCTGTGGGCAACAGGCATGAACGTGGTACCCAGACATACATGCAGACAAAACATCCGTATTGTAGGCAGAGTTTCTCTGTGTCCCAGCAGCCACTCCCAAATAACCATTCAGGGACTTATTATTAATTATAAATGCTCAGCCAATAGTTCAGGTTTGTTACTAACTCCTACATTTTAAATTCTGAAACCCATATTTCTTACCTACCCTCTGCCACATGGCAGTACCTTCTTCTAACAAGGCACGTTCATCTTGCTTCTCTCTGTATCTGCTCGAAACTCCCGAGACCCCCTCCTCCTTCTTCCCTGAATCCTTAGTCTGGTTCTCCTGCCTAACCTTATCCTGTCCAGCTGTTGACCAGTCAGCTTCTTTATTAAACCAGTCACAGTGACATATACTCACACAGTGTAAAGGAATATCCCATGCCATACACATAAAATGAATAAAATTAAAAAAGAAAACGGAAACTATTTCCCACCACTGTGTACTAGTATTTCTGTCTTAACTGTGTCTAACGGTAAAACAGAAGGGCCACGGTGCAGGTCGCTGGCCGCACAGGTGGCAGAAGAGGCCGAGATGACAGCCCGAGGCGACCCAGAGGAGACTGGGCACAGGAAGGAAGGAGGTGGTGGTCAGGATGAAAGTCAGGGCTGTGGGTCACCTGGCTGGAACTAGAGCAATAAGAAGCCTTTGGATTCGGGGCTGGAGTCTTGGGAGGGAAGCTGGAACTTAACAGCTACATTCTGCAGCAAAGAATGGAGGTTCAAAGATGATCTGGGCCTTTCCCTTTCCCTGGACCTGCCAATCTCAGGCAGCACTTCCTCTGGGCTGAGTTTGATGGAAACCCAGCTCTAAAGACTTCTGATAACTCATTTATTCCCCGAGGATAAAATGCCTCACCAATATCTCACCAGTGCCCTAGGGTTCCTTATTCTACAATCAAGTTGGCAATCAAAATTAACCATTGCAAATAGGTAGCAATAGTTTTGTATTACACATAAGATAACTGAGGTACAGGCAGGTTCATTAACTACCGAGACCACAGGTTGGTCAGAGCAGAGCCAAGACCTGGGCATCTGGGTGCCAGGTACCCGCTCTCACTAGCTGCCCTCTGCTGTCTCTAGGTGGACTCTGAGTGGAGCGGCATACAAGCCCAGGCCTCAGAGAGTGATGTGTTCGCGTGCATTTGAGGGCGGGTTTGTTTCCTAGGGCCACTGAACTGAAGGACCACAAACTGGATGATTTATGGGTGTGTCCAATATCTTCATATTGTGATACGATGTCATCTACTAAGTTCATGTTTGAGAACTGCGCAATCAAGTTACAAAAAAAACCAAAACACAAAAAACTTGTATTTTAAGTAAGTTTGTGATTTTTGTGTCAGGCTGGGTTCATAGCTGTCCCGGGGCACACATGGCCCAGGAATGGAGTGGAGACCTGAGCCCTCACGTGACTCACTGGAGCACTTTGGCTTGCTGGGCTGTGTCACACCAGGCTGCTTCTGTCTCACACGGTGTCCTCCTGTCTTGTCTTCATGTCACTGTGTGTGGTGGTTTGAAGGAGGAGGCCTCCCATAGGCTCATCTTTGAATGCTTTGTCCCAGTTGATGGAACTGTTTGGAAAGGATTAGGCAGTGTGACGTTGATGGAGGAGAAGTGTGTCCCTGGGGTGGGGGTGGGGAGGAGCTTTCTCTCTGCCTCATGGTTGCAGATCAAGCGCGTTGGGAGCCTCACTTCACCACTGTGGACTCTAACCTCTGAAACTGAAAGCAAATTAAATGCTTCCTTTTATCCGTTGACTTGCTCATGGTGTAGTATCAACAGCAATGGGAACGTAAGATGCCGTCCATCTTTTCACAAGGACACAGGTATTAGTGGATAGGGCTTACCCTATTCCACTGATGTCCGATCAAATCTTCAGTGACCCTGTTTCCAACAAAGTCACATTCTGAGGTACTTCCAAATATTTTGAGGGAACATAAACTCATTACAAGACTCTAGGGCAGAGAGTAATTGAAGCCATGAGCCATGAGACGGCCACTTCCCTGGCCCCTAGGGAACCAGAGGAAAGGAGACGGAGAAGCTAGTTTTGAAGATGGTCACCTTGTAGAGCCAGGAGGACCAGCCAGGGGACAAGACTGGGAAAGAAGAGGGTAGCAGCAAGGGGTCCTGGAAGCCAGGAGGGAAAGTGTGTGCTGGGAAAGGAGTTTGGGGTCCAGAGCAGCAGAGAGGACCTGGGGCAGTGAGAGCTCAGGGTACAGTGCTTGGCTGGCAAGCCTTACCCCTGAGTTCAACCCTGGAACCTGTAAAGGTGGAAGGACGGAACAGACTTTATAGAAAGTTGTCTTCGGACCTCCGTGGACACACTGTGGCATGCACACACACCACCCACCATCTCATACATGCATACTAATAATACATCAAGCAAACAGGAAGTGACATGAGGAAATAGAAATCTGGTGTGACAAAACAGAAGTCACACACTTTTGAAGCGTGACTGCTCAGGAGGGTAGGAGGAGAGGCCTTGGGGACACCAAGGACTGAAAACCCTATTTTATGGCCTCTCCCCACTCACACAACAGAGCCACAGGAATGAGAGAGCTGAGTGTCTTAGTCACTTCTGGATCCAGTGTGTTTGTTAAACCGAGTTGACTATTGCATGAGCCAGTATTGACTCCAAATATGTCATTGTCCAGTATGCCCGGGGTAGGTTTATCTGGTTCCTTTCAGCTATAAAGTCCTATGTGTGATACATTCCATTAGCTACCCTTTTATTGACACAGTAAGAAATTTAATTAGTTGCATGTGTTTTTGTTTGCTAAATGTCTTACTTAGGGTTTCTATTGCTGTGATAAAACATCATGACTAAAGGTGACTTGGGGAGGAAAGGGTTTATTTCACCCTACAGCTTCTAAATCCACCATCCAGGGAAATCAAGGCAGGAGCTGAACCAGAGGCCATGGAGAAGTGCTGCTTACAGCCTGCTCTTCATGGCTTGATCAACCTGCTTTCTTATTGAACCCAGGACCACCAGCCCAGGGTAGCATTGTCTAAATGAGCTGGGTTCTCCTACATCTATCAACAGTCAAGAAAATGCACCACAGCTTTGCCCATAGGCCAGTCTGGTGGGGTCAGGTTTCCAGTTGAAGTTCCCTCCTCCAAAATTACTCAAGCTTGTGTCAAGTTGACATAAAACCAACCAGTGCTGTGAGCTCTTATTAAGTGAGATGGCTGAGCCAGAATCCCCTTAATAAACGTAACCAACGTTTGTTGAGTACGTCGTACACTGTGTTAGGTGCTATACAAACTGTCTATAGCTGCTTCCCGGGCTTTTGGCTATGATCAAGTGTGTATTGTCTGTATACTGGCCCATTTAACAGATGTGAGAGGAGAAGACCTAGGGCAGGGGAGTGTGAGAGGTAAGACAAACAAAAGGAACCAACTTCTCTCTGGTACTCTGGGCAGGTGGTTGAGAATGGTTAAACTTCTATCAAAGATCTCCTAAGTTCTTAAGTCTTCCTTCTGATGCTTGATTCTGATAAATAAACAAAGGCATTTACAGGGTGGGGGCAACTGGATGCCATAACCAGCCCCGGTTGGGCTGTTCTGGCTGTCTTAGGCTACCTTATGGCAGCACCAGCCATTCTGAACACTCCACAGGAGCCTTAGAAAACTGTCCAGCTATCGCAACCCATTTCTTTGGCTCTTGAAGGTGCAGCCTCAGCCAGGGTTGTTTCCCACCATCCGTAACAGACTACTTGCTGTCACAAGCCTTGTGGAACTTTGGGTAACCAACAACCATGTTGATGAAGAGCATTCCCACCTGGTGGCCCAGCAGGGGGATGCGTGATTGGTGAAAACACAAACTTTCATTTGCATGTGAAGTCTTTTGTGATTGGAACCCCTTCTCTGACTATATAAACACTGTTTGGCTCACGTGGTGAGAGGTGTGCCGCCTCCCTTGGTGTCCCAACATTAGGCCCAATAAGAAGCTTTCCTTAGTGGTCTTGTATTGCCTACTTCTAGTGGTGCGGGCCGAGCTGGAAACAGGAAGACCACAGCTGCAGCCGTAGAGACCAGGGAGCAGCAACGGGCAAAGCTGAGAGGTCAGGAGGCTGAGCTGCAAAAGCAGCCAGATAGCCAGCTGCCTGGCGGCTAACGGAGAAGCCGCTGGACAGTTGGAGACAGAGGCCAGCACAGGGACAAGGACAACAAAGGTAGAGAGTGGAGAGCAAGGCTAGACAAAGCAAGCCTGAGAAAGGAAACTGGAGGACCTTGTCACTGGAAGACTTCCAGGAGCCACCAGGCCTGGAGGGCCAAGGGTCTCAGACTCCCTAAGTTCAGGAGCTGGAATACAGGCTGTCGTCAAGGCTGAGGAACTCTGCCCTCCTGTGCCTAGTAAGAGGGGTAATATTGTAGAGCGAAGGGTCCTGCTACCCAGGTGTATGTAAGAGCTACATGTATGCCTATGTGTAGAACGGGACCCTATAGCTAAGGGTCCTGTTCCCTGAGGCCTGGGCGAGAGCTGCAGCTCCAGAGGGGGCCGCCCGCCTCTGCTCCCGCTTGTCTGGGGGCTCTGCTAGCTGCTGCCGTTAAACACCTAGAGATACAAGACCTTCCAACGAGAGTTCCAGGCTGCTCTGATGTGGTTGGGAGTCAAGTGTCATGAGTAGGTTGGGGGCGGGGCTGCCAAGCTGCAGCTGCACAGGGCACACAGCACTGCTCACTGAGGTTTAACAAGCAGCCTCTGTCTGCTTCACGGCTGAGTGGCTCTAGCCAGGGAGAGGAGGAAGATGTGGTCCTCAAGTCCACCCAGTCTCAGCACAGACATGCTGTTTTCCCTACATTTAGAGCTTGTGTCTCAAGGTTGAACAGGTATGTAGGTGTTTGCTGATGACCCTTTTTGTTTCTTAAGAAGTACTGTGAAACTATGGTGTTGGCTGCTGTGGTAGACAAAAGGAGGGCTCAGAACATGGCAAGAATTGTGGGTGAGAGGCAGAGCTAGACTTCCAAGTGCGCAACCTGAGAATGAAGGAACCTGCTGAAGAGATGGCTCAGTGGTTAGAGCACCTTTTACTCTTGCAGAGTACCTGGGTTTGGTTCCCAGCACTGCATAGGAGGCTGGGATGTGTGTGATGCCCTCTCTGGCCCCCATGGTCACCTGCACACAGGAGGTGCACAGTTATACATCCAGACACACATACACAATAAATAAATAAGTAAATAAATATTTTTTTAAAAAAGAATAAAGATTATATAATTGGGGAAAGGTGTAATCCTAGGACTTAGGAAGCTGAGGCATGGTTACTGCCTATGTATTCGAGGCCAGCTTGAGCTACAAAGGGAGCCACTGTCTCTCCCTCCCCTGCCCCCTCAGAATTTTGTTAGTCTTTTCCCAGATGAACTAACTTGATCACCACTCTCTCCCAATCCTTTCTGATACAAAGTATCCCCAGTATCTCAATTTCCTAATCTGTAAGAAAAACGTTCCGCTTGCAGGATGCCTTGACGAATCGAGACAGAAGTCCACGGTGAGCTTAGTAACGCAGGGCTCTTTGGACATTTATTCCTATTCTAAACCACAAGTTTCCTCTTCCGTTACTGGGCGCTCCGACCCAGCTGACTTGGACCCCATGCCACGCTGCACTCGGGCACTCGGTTCCTCTGCCTGACAAAGAAAGGAAGTGTAAGACTCATGCGTGCCTTTCTGGCAGGAGGTTGATCTGCTCACAGCCTCTCCGGGCACACAGAACTACATCTCCCAGCGTCGCCCGCGCGGGCCCGGCGGCAGCAGGAGGCGCGCAGGCGCCGAGCGCCGCCACGCCTGGTCTTCGGCGGTAGACCGAGCTGGTCTAGCTTAGTGGAGCGGGCACATCTCGGAGCGCGCGCCTCCGCGGCGTCGCGGTCCCTGGTGAGCCGCAGCAGGCTAGTGCCATGATCCGACAGGACCTCTCCACATCCTACCAGGAGGTGCGAGCCGGGCGGGCGCGGGAGGCGGGCAGGGCACCGCGACCCCCGCGCAGGTGGATGGTTGGCACTCGGTGGCGTGCGGGCTCTGCAGCAGGTGGAGCTGCTGCGTGGTCCCCGCACGCGGGATGACAGGGACTCTGGCCTCCGGCTGTGGGGAAAGCGCGTGGCCGGCCGCTCCTCCGCGGCTCCCCGTCGCCTCCACGGCCCCACGACCCTTGCAGTTCTTTGTCTGTCGCCTGAGCCTCGGGCTTCCCCTTGCCGAGCCCCGCTCGCTCCGGGCCCCTTGTGCTCCTCTGTCGTGGGGCTGCCCCGGTCCTGCCCTTGGTGTCGTTCCGCGGCGCCGCATCCTAGGCCGTCTGCCACCACTCTCCAGGTTTGCTCGAGGCGGTGTAGCGTCACCACACCGTTAGACCTTGTCCAACCGGAGCAGCCCAAGCTTCTCAGCAGCTTTCCGCAGCTCAGCAGTTTGTCCCGGTGGCCATCTCCACCCACGGAGGCTCTGGCCACACTGGAAACTCACGGCCTCCAAACGAGTTGGCAGAGTGCTGAGCTCAGCGCCCGGTTGAGTTAGTGACCCCGAGTGAACAACAGGATGCTGCCAGCTCCTGCTTCTGGGGAGTTTGGGGGTCTTGGCTTCAAAGGTCCGCGCTCAGCCACACATGGCCCGTATCTCCTTACTTAGCAGGGCTTATAAGATAATTTATTGAAGCACAGGCTTTTGTCTTGCTTGGAGAGCTAGGCCACAGGTGGAATCGGGTGTTCACTGGAGTCATGCCCAATGGATAGAAGGCTCTGGAAGAGCCCTGTTTTGAAGTCCCACGAAGCTGGCCTGCGTCTTTATTGCCTGGATTGTTTTGAGAGTGGACCTGACTGAGTTAGGTGTCTGCTGAGGGGAGGGTTTGGCGCTCCAGGATGGGGCATTCTGAGAAGTATGGCCAGGAACAGGCAAAGGCTTGTGATGGCTGCTGTGTGTCAGGACAGGGAACTGGGAGGAAGGGAAATTGCCGCTAGGCCTGGGTCAGGGTGACTTGCACAGGCTTGGCTCTGAGGAGTTCCAGTCTTCCTGGGACCACTGTCTCCCTTGAGACTTTTTACTTAAATCATCTGGGATGAATGTGAAAGGTCTCTGAGGGCCAGGGGTGTTTGTAGCTGAGCTGCAGCGCTTACTTAGTGCTTAATCCCGGCACTTAGTAGGTGGACGTAAAAGGCTCAGAAACTCAAGGTCATTGTCCACTATAGTGGGTTTGAAGCCAGCCTGGGTTACATGCGACCCTGTCTCAGAGGAGAGGAAGTAACTTATAACTTTACTTGATAACACTATGAGCCTGGGGAAAGCTCTTCCCCTCCAGTTGGATGGAATCCCTCTAAACTGACTTCACCTGCCTCCTTCCTAAAGCGTTAGGACGCTGACCCTAATCTCTGCTTTCTCAGTGCCAAGGTTCCCCATCCGACAGGTCAGGTGAGAACACTATGAGGTTGCTGTTGCCTGGTACCCTGCTGCTAATTAATGCTGTTACCTGCACAGCCTTCACCCTGTTCTGTCGCTTGCGCCCACGGATCTGTGGGCTTTAGTGCCCACAGAGCCCTGACACCAGCTTCACTGTTCTCATTTCTCTCTGAGGAGACTCTAAGCCCCATTTCTTCTTCCTCTGGGAAGTGGTTAAGACCATGGGCTTTGGAACTAGACCAAGGTGGTGTGACTCCTGCTTCTTTGACTGACTCTGGCTGTGGGTTGGCGTTTCCCAGAGGGAGATATTGAAGTGTAACTCCAGTTCTTGCCCTATTTGGAATTGGAAATAGTCACTCAGGTGTATCACACAAAGACAGGATGTACTGGGTCCCAATCCAGCGTGGTGAGTGTCCTTAAAGGCGCACCCCCTGAGGGGCACACACTGCGTGGGGGCCTTGTGAAGATGGAGGCAGGGTTAGGCATCAGCCACAGTTACAAGCCGAGAATGCCAGGGATTGCTGGCTAGCACAGAAACTAGGAGAGAGGCTGGGGACCTGTCTCCCTCACAACTCAGGGAGCCAGCCCTGCCAAAACCTTTACTGCAGTTTCCCAGCCTCAGGCTGTGAGAGAAGACAGTGCAATCAGCCTCACACATCCTGTGTCGTGCGGTCTTTGTGCCTATGTGACAATTATGTGGATGGGGCTTCTGCTTTTTAGCCTGGAAAAGGCAAGACTGCCCCAGCCGAGCTGCTCACCCCTTTCTTCTCCTTTAGCTCAGTGAGGAGTTGGACCAGGTCGTTGAGAACTCAGAGCAGGCGGATGAGCGAGACAAGGAGCCAGCCCAAGTCCAAGGTGCAGGGGTCTTGCCAGGTGAGTGGATTTAGGGCGCTGGACATTGGCTGTGTGCTGCTGCTGCTGGCGGCCAAGTCCAGGCGCCTTGCCCGGGGAGGGAGTGGCAGCCTCCTCTCCCCCACACTTGTGCCCTGGTGTTGGGTCTCGAGGTCTTCTCCGGTTCTAAAGCTCTACATATTTAATCAGCCTCCGGATGGAGGATGTGCCTCTCAAGGTCTGCGGTCTTGACAGTGGGTTTGAACAAGTTCCTGAGGCCAGGCCTCCCTTTTCCCTGAGGAGGTGCTGGCCGGCATGACTCTAATGTCCTGATCCTGTCTCAGAGCCCTGTAGGAGAAGAGCTCCTTTGAGGCCTCTCCAGTCCTGCTTCCGGTGGGTGGGCTCACCTAGGCCTGGCCCCCGTTTCAGACTCTACCTAGGCTTAACTTGCATGCGTCCATGCTTAGCCCAGTGCTTTCCCTGACTCGGCCTTGTGTCCTAAAGCCCATCTGCCCAGCAGAAGCCATCCTTGTTATTTTATTTCTCTTTCTGAAATTCTCAATCTCCTTTTTAAAAGACTTATCTTTATTTATGTATGTGTCTGTGTAAGTGGCTGCCACATGTGTGAGGATGCCGTGGAAGCTAGACAAGGGTACCAGGTTCCCAGGAGCTGGCATTGAGATGGTTGTGAGCACCTGACATGGATGCTGGGAAGGGGACTTGGGGGTCTCTCTGTTCCACTGAGCCACCTCTTCGGCCAACCCCCTTTTAACATTTAAATTATTGTTATGGGGGGGCACATGATATGTATGTGAGGGCATGAAGGCCATGGTGTGTGCCCGGAGGTCAAAGGACAACTCCGTGGACTTAATTCTCGCCGTCCACCTTTAACGTGGGCTCCTGCGGTCGAGCTCAGGTTGCCAGGCTCCAGGGGTGCCTTGGCTCTTCCCTTCCTCTCCTAGTTAATGCCCAGTCGTTCCTCGGCTCCCCGCTGACAGGATCAGGCCCCACCCTCCAATACTGTCCCTGTCCTCTGTGCTCCTGTCCTGCAGTATTGCGGCTGCAGAGGAGGTTTGTCACCGATGTCTCTCTCTTCTCCAGTGAAGCCTGGTGACAGCAGACACAGCTCTTCACCTTAGCCGTGGCTAGTCAGTGTGAGCGAGTGGACGGAGCCCTCTTGGCTCCGGCTCCTTGGGTGAGCTCGGGAATGGGTCCTGTTCTTTGGGTTCCTCTGTCTGTGGGGAGAGGAAGTCCTGTGATTCTGCTCAGTGCTTGGAGGAGACCGAGGAAGGAGGCAAAGCAGTTTTTCCCCACTGCTCTCCCATGCCAGGCTCTGCTGTGGCCCCTCCAGCTCCCCTGCCCCCTCCCATCCCCACTCCGTTCCCCCCCCACCGCCCCGGCTCCCCACCTCTGCCCCACACACCACATTTAATTCTCACAAGAGCTCTGCAAGGTGAAGTCCTCGTTTTGTACATGAGAACCACAGACTCGGGCTGGGTGAAGCATGGAAGCAGACTCAGGCACTCTGACCCCTACTCCACCTCCTGACTGGTGGCTTTTTATTTTAGGACATTCATTTTGTGTGGGAGAGGGTGGGGTGGGCACTGTGGAAGTCGGGGGGCCACTTGTGGGTGTCAGATCTTCCACTGTGTGGGTTCCAGGAGTTGAAGTCAGGCTGTCGAGCTTGCAAGTGTCTTTGCGCACGAAGGTTCAAACTTCCTGTTTAGATAAGGTCTATGTAGCTAGCCCAGGCTGGTCTTGAACTCTCTGAGGATGACTTGGAACTTTTAATCCTACCCTGACAGAGATTTTGGTTTATCTGAATAAATGTATGGATAGTCCTCGCTGTGTTCTCTTCTGACTGAAATTTACTCCATGAGGCAGGGAGTCATCAGACTCCGGTAAACGTCTAGATTGTTATCTGCTAATTGATCTGCTCAGATGAGGGTGACCAAAAGTGACCAGTTTCCCTTACTCTTCCAACCCTTTCCAACCACTGAGGATCAGCACCGGGAGGTCATGTCTCAGCTTCCGGACTTGGCTCGCCACAGTTGGGTCTCCTGGGCGACTGAAGATCCATGCCACTCCTGTTTCTACTGTATCTTTTTTGAGACAGGGTCTCTCACTGGCCGGAGCTCACAGTGTAGGCAAGACTGGCTGGCCAGTGAGCCCCAGGGAGATGCCATCTCAACCTCTCCAGCTCTGGGATTACAAGCATGGCCCACCAGACTTTTTTACATTTACAGTCCTGGGGATTGGGCTCGGATCCACCTGCTTGATTGTGGCTGAGCCATCTCTCCAGCCCCGGCCCTTTTGATTGTTCCAATCTTGGCTTTTGTGACTAGGCCTGTAGCAAATACAGACACACTGATTTCATCTTCTCCGGGTACATTGGTGTATCGCTGGATCACGTAATATTCCTCTTCTTCCTTCATGATATTTTTATTTATTTATTTATTTATTTATTTACTTTTTTGAGACAGGGTCTGATGTATCTCAGGCTGCCCTTGTTATGTGGGGGAGAGTGGCCTTCACTCCCCGCCTTCCTGAGTGCACCTCCTGAGTGCTGGGATCACAGTGGTGACCGGTGACTTCCCCGGCCCTGTGCTCTTTCTTTAGTTTCTATTTATTTACATACGCTCTGATCTCTGTTAACTCTTCCTAACTCTGGATTTAGTTCTTTTAATTTTTTAAAGAGAAATTCATTGTTTCATCAACCTGAAATTTTATTTTGATTTATGTGCATATACACGTGTCTGTGTGTGAGTATGTGCATGCGTGGGGGTGTCTGAGGAAGCTGGAAGAGGGTGTTGGATCCTCTTGAGCTGGAGTTACAGGTGGTTATCTGCCCTTCTGTGGATGCTGGAAATGAGACATCCTCTGCAAGGGCAGCAAGTGCTCTGAATTGCTGAGCCATCCCGAGACCTGGACTTGGTTCTTTATTTTTCTGGTTCCTTGAGGTGCAGCATTAAGTTGCTTATTTGGAATTTTTTTTTTTTTTTCGAGACAGAGTTTCACTGTGTAACAGCCCTGGCTGTCCTGGAACTCACTCTTTAGACCAGGCTAGCCTCTGACTTACAGAAATCTGCCTGCCTTTGCCTCCTGAGTGCTAAGATTAAAGGTGCGCACCACCACCGCCCGGCTCCATTTATTATTTATATGTGCACATGTGTGTGAGGAGCTGCCCACGGAGGCCAGAAGAGGGTGTTGGACCCCTGGAGCTGGAGTCACAGGCAGTTGTGAACCACTTGCAGTGAGCGCTGGTAGTTAAACTTGGGTCCTCTCGAACAGCAAGTGCTTGTAACTCCTGAGCCATGCTGCAGCTCTTGTCATGACTCCTGTGTGTGTGTGTGTGTGAATGTGTGCACACAGCTCTTGTCATGACTCCTGTGTGTGTGAATGTGTGCACACAGCTCTTGTCATGACTCCTGTGTGTGCGAATGTGTGCACGCAGCTCTTGTCATGACTCCTGTATGTGTGAATGTGCATGTGTGTGTGTGTGAATGTGTGCACACAGCTCTTGTCATGACTCCTGTGTGTGTGAATGTGCGTATGTATGCCTATGTGTAGGCCAGAAGAGGTCACTGCACACCCTCTTCCGTCACTGGCTGTCTGTCATCCGTTTCTTTGAGGCAGAGTCTCCCCTGGAGCCCGGAACTCACGTTTCTTGGCTTAGGTGAGAAGGTAGCAAGCCCCAGTGATCCTCCACCCCTGCTCCCCTGAGCCTGGCTTCCTCCGTGGGATCAGGATCTGGCCCTCAGGATAGAGAGCGCCAGCATCTCTGCAGCCCAGCTTTCCCTGTGTAGATATCTGCTGTTGGGAGCTCCTTTTTGATGCTGGGTCACATGGTTGACCTTGAGGTCTCCGGGTTCTTGGCTTTCTGGTTGCTTGGGTTACAGAATTGGGCCACCACCCTTGATACCACCTGACTTTTATTCTTCCCACTTAAAATTTGCAGAGAACCTGAGTGTGTTTCCCAGCACCCACGTCGGGCCACTCACAGTCACCTGTAATTAACTCTGGGAGATCCAATGTCCTCTTCTGGCCGCTGTAGGCACCTTCCCCAGCACATATGGCACACATCCACAAAAATAAGTCTTAAATTCTGGAAGCTGATATTTTGTGTCACAGTAATGGAGTACTTTGAATCTAATCATGACTTTACACCTCATAAAGAGTTACCCTGTGTGTGTTTCTGATATAATTACTCCTGTGCTTCTGGCTGAAACAGTTCCATCCATCCCTGTTTCTTAGGCCAGTGATGAAGAATCCTCCAGGTTTGCTTGAAAGGATCTTTTCTCTCCTTTCTGAGAAGCTGCGTCACTGAAGATGGTGTTCTTGGCTGTGGTGCTTCCTCCTTTCCAGGTGTCCACTGGGAAATCAGTAACTGGACCTTCTCTCTCTCTCTCTGGTTTTTAAATTCCTCCTTCTCATCTTTCTCTCCTCCCTCTCCTCTTTCTGTCTGTCCATCCTTCATTCATCCATTTTTTTTTGAGATATAATCTCCCCATAGCCTAGGTTGGCCTTGGTCTTGTGACCCTCCAGCTCAGCTTCCCCGGTGCTGGGATGACGGGCATCTCCACTTCCGGCTCTAGTTCTCTTTGACCCTGGTTCTGGACAGCTTACTTATAGTGCCTTGAAAGGGAGCTCTTTGGAGTGAGCAGAACTTGAGTCCATGTCCAGACCTTACTCGATGGTTTAGCTGTTATTTTACTAAATAATGTTCCCTGTGCCTGCCTTCAGTCCTTCTCCTCTGTAATCTACTGTGTGGATCTTTTCTTGATAGATTTCCACAGGTGCTATGGGCTTTCCTTGTACTTCTGTCTACAGCTGGCTTAGTTCAATAACCCTCACTTCAAGTCTAGAAATTCATTCTGCTTGGTCTAGGCTGCTGATGCTACTGCAGATTTTCATTGTATTTTTGATTCATTGGCATCTTCATTTATCACATTTTTTTGGGGGGGGGTTGGTTTTTCAAGACAAAGTTTTTCTGTATAGCTCCAGCTATCCAGGAACTCACTCTGCAGACCAGGCTGGGCTTGAACTCAGAGTTCTCCCTGCCTCTGCCTCCCAAATGCTAGGATTAAAGGTGCTGCCACCATGCCTGGCTTCATCTATCATTTCTTTTTCTTTTTTAGATTTATTTTACGTATATGAGTGTAGCTGGAAGTTTCTCCAGTCCTGATGGGCCCCACAGTCTGGACGAATCTCCCACCCGCAGTCTCACAGCTGCTTATAAAATACTCACTCAGAGAATTAATATTAACTGCAAACTGTATGGCCTATGGCTCAAGCTTCTTGCTAGCTAGCTCTTATAACTTAACTCAACCCATTTCTGTTAATCTATGTATCACCATGTGTTCTGTGGCTTTACCTGTGTCCATTACATGTTGCTCCTTGGACAGCGGGCTGGCATCTTCCCTGACTCTACCCTTCTTCTCTCTGTATCTCTACTTGGATTTCCCACCTGCCTCTAAGCTGCCTTGCCATAGGCCAAAGCTGCTCTATTTATTAGCCAATGGGAGCAACACATTTATTCACAGCGTACAGAAAAACATCCCACAGCATGAGTGCTGTAACATCTGTGTGCCAGAAGAGGGCACCAGATCCCGTTCTAGATGGTTGTGAGTCATGTTGTGGTTGCTGGGAATTGAACTCAAGACCTCTGGGAGAGCCGCTAGTGCTCTTACCCGCTAAGCCAGCCCATCTCTCATTTCCTACCAGCTGAGTCTTTCCCTGGGAACACACTGACTGGTTTCTTGAGGAACTGCTTGTTCCCTCTCACTGTGCTTTCTTAGTTGTTACTTAGAACTCCTTTCTGTGCATTTCCACTCCATTTCTGGAGAACTGCTCTTTGTGGTCTCTTTCCTTGCTCTTTGTGCCCCTCATGCTGTTCTGTGTCTTTCCATACATGCGTACACTGTGTCCTGATAATACCCCTCACCCTGCCCTTCCCAGACTGTACTGACCACGGACGTACTCTCAGATCGACTCTTTAATTCCATATCAGAGATCGTGAGGGACTTGTTTTGTGTATCTCCTTCACCCAGTATAAGGTTGTCTAGTGCCATTGGTTTCTGCAAATAGATCATTTTTCTTTGTGTGATATGTATATGCATGTTCATGTGTGAGTCTGTATATATCTGTGTACACTCAGTGCACGTGGAAGCCAGTGGTGAACTAATCCAGACTGTG